TTTCTGATTTTCTGCAAAGTTTTATATTTTTATTTGTTGGAGGTTTGGTATTTTTTCTTTGCTTCACACATAGACAAGAAAGAATGCTTCCCAACAAGTGGTATGGTTATAGATCTTTTTTTTTTCTGACAAGAAAAAAGAAAAAAATAAGTGTAAATCATGGAAGCAAACACAAGCAGATGATTAACCTGAATGAAAAAAATTGGTAGATTTGGAAGTCTAAGATAGAGGATGCTCTTTATTACTAAGATTTATATGTTTCCCTTGAGGTTGAGGAAACCAAACCAACGGAGATGACAGATGATGAGTGAAAGAAGCTAAATTGGAAAGCCATTGGATGCATTCAACAATGGTTAGATGATAATGTATTTCATCACGTGTCAAATAAAACTTTGGCACTCTCTATGGAAGAAATTGGAAGGCTTTATGAAAAAAAACAGCCGGCAATAAAGCTTTCTTAATCTGAAAACTAGTTAATTTGAAGTTCAAAGAAGGTGCATCAATTGCAGAGCATTTAAATGAGGTGCAAAGCATAGTCAATCAACTTGATTCCATAAAGATAGTGTTGGATGACGAGTTACTGGCCTTATTGCTCCTCAGTTCATTAACTAATACCTAGGAGACATAAGTGGTATCTCTTAGCAACTCTGCACCACATGGAAAAGTAACAATGAATTACAATTAGTTTATTGAATGAGGAAACAAGAAGAAAATACTTGGATTTCTCTCGATCACAGGTTCTTGTCACATAAAATAGAGGGAGAATTACAAGTAGGAACCCTAACAATCGTGAAGGATCAAGAGATAGGTCCAAATCTAGAAAGGGAACAAATTGCTACCATTGTGGCAAACCAAGACATATAAAAAGAAAATATCAAAAGCTAAAGAAAGAAAAACAAGGAAGAAAATGTCAAGAAAAACAAAAACAAGAAAACAATGAGACCGTTGCAGCTACCACGGATGGTGATATTATTGCTTTCTTAGCTTGTGATATGGCTTGCCTAGGTGTTGCATTATCCATATACATTAGAATAAACTAATTCCAAAAGATTTGTTTTTCTTTGAGAACTATGTTTAAATGAAATTCTATGTTGTTTGTCAATCAAATATTGAAAACAATAATGTAACTAGGGGAGAACTTTTTTTTTTACAAGAATTTGTAGCCCCTTCTCACTCATGTGACCAAATCACTTATGCCACTAATCAGCTGATGATTTTTTCTCAACGGTGTTCACTTCATCCATACATAATCGTACATGTGTGTTGTAAAGAGTGCATCAATTCTTTCCTCTTACCACTAAAGCAAAGAAATGTTGTGGATGAAGAGGTTCTTAAAGGAACTGGGTTGAAATGAAGCATGACAACTATGTGCTTCTTTATGATAGTTAGCGTGCTATGGACTTTAGCAAGAACGCTTAATATCATGCCAGAATGAATCATATAGATGTCCATTATCACTGGATGCAAGATGTCTTGGCGAATCAGTTAATGCGAAAGAGAAAATCTGTAGTGATCGCAATCCATTAAATGTGATGACCAATGCCCTAACAAAGAATAAGCATGAGCTTTATAGAGACTTGGCAGGCAGGGGTGCTACTTGAGAACAAGTATAATGGGCATGAGATTCACTGAGTAGGGGGAGCTCTCCTCATGGATCTAGAGGGGGAGATTGTTACGGACTTTTCTAAATGTTCGTGGACTTCTAAACCTATGAGGTTTTGAAAACAAGTATAATGGGCATGAGATTCACTGAATAGGAGGAGCTCTCCTCATGGATCTAGAGGGGGAGATTGTTACAGACTTTTCCAAAGGTCTGTGGACTTCTAAACCCATGAGAAAAAGAAATATTTGAAAGGGCTATTTCGAGAAAAAGAAAATGATAATAATTAGAGTTTCTGATAGAAGCAGTATTTCTTATTTTTTATAGAGAGAGGTGAACCAAAAAAATTAAAGAGAGAGGTTAAAGTGTTTTGTTTCTATCTCTAGGGCTTTTTGATATGCAAAAACAATTATAGAAGGTTTTCCTTCTAAAAATCTCATAAGGTTTGAAACTTCCTAAATGTTTAAAGTTGGTATTCTCCAATGAAAGTTGGAAAGAAGTTACTCTTTTGAGAAAGAGAGGAAGATGAAATAGTTCTCATAGACATCACCCTATATATTTTTTTTTTATTCATAATCGTCAAGTTGTGGCTAGTTAATTTCAAAAGAACTGTTTTAATTGTTTTCTACGTAGTGGATTTTATCTGAGGTTCCCTGGGGTTTTTTCCTTCTTTGAAGCGTTATCCACGCAATTCCTCTGTGTTTGATTTGGTTCTGACTTCCTGTAAATTTTTATATTTTTGACATTTGGCAGTTTTTCCTTGATTCACAGATAGACAGCAAGACACTGCTTCCCAACGAGAGAGAGAGAGAGAGCGAGAGAGAGAGAGAGAGAGAGATGTAGATTGAGAGAAATGACAATAGTGGGTGCGAGAAGGAATCGAAAATGGAAAAGAGAGGGAGAGAAAACTTTGGTAGTGTTTTCAGTGTGATGGAGATGGATTAGAGAGAGAGAGAGAGAGAGTAGTGTTGCGAGGAGAGAGATCAAACACTATTGAGTACCTTGTAGAGAGAGGAAGGCGACAGTAAGGTAATATTTGCAAGGTGTGGAAGAGAATGCAATGTTAGGGAATTTTGTGCCATTCACAAAAATTGAGGTACATTCAATTTTTGCATGCATCTAGATCCAGTTGTGGAAGTTGATGGGAAAAATTAAGCTGAAAGATGAGAGCATTCTCTTTGTAGTCGAATAAAGGTCAAGACCTTAAACTTTTTATTAACTCATCCTTGGTTAAAAGAGGTGGGTTGCATTAGGTAAACAATCAGTGTAAAACTTTGCCATATTTTATCATGAATTTCAAATCTATGGAACGGAGGAATAAGATTCATGTAGCCGATCCCAAATCATTGGAAAATAGCTTGGATGATGATGATTAATATTTAGTTGTAACTCCTCTTCCTCTCTCTCCCTGTGTCTAGATCCCGTTGTAACTAGACTCTTTCCCTCTTCCTCTCTCTCTCCCCTTGTCTAGATCCATAGTTAACTAGACTCTTTCCCTCTCTCACTCTCCCCTTTTGTGTGTATCTCAATTTTTATGAGATTTATTCTCTCTCACTCATTTCTAGTGTTTGTGCCCTTAAAATTTTGTGTGATCCAATCTCTGTATGCAATTTTCATGTGATTTATTTTATCACCTCTAGTTGAAGCTGCATGTGTAAGAGGAAGGAAGAACATAATCTGTAGTTTTAAGGAAACAAGAATTGATGGAAGGACAAGTAATTTGTGAGAGAATATGAGAGGAAATGCAAACTGGATTTTCACCCAAAGAGAGAGAGAGAGGGAGAGTGAGGGGGAGGGGGGTTGGGACAAGAAAAAATGAGAAAAGGGAAAAGACTTTTTGCACTTCAGAGAAGGTAACTCTGTCCATTTCTTTTCTAAAACTGCACCATGTGGAGTAGAGAGCCTAACTCAAAAAAAATAAAAAATAAAACGAAGTCTAGTTGAGTTGGTTTTCTGTACATTTGATTGAATATGAAATGGGCAAGGTAAAGTATTGGACCCACTACTTGTGCTTTACCTATAAATATGGCCCCGATCAACCCTCCTTCCTATGCGTTTTGAATCAAGCTAGTTATATGTGTAGCATGAACCACTCACCACTATATGGCTTGGAGTGTGATGGTGAGCAGGAGAGAGTGTGTGTGAAATCCCCTTAGATGATCTTACCTTTCGAGAAAAAAAAAAAAAGAGAAAAGAAAAGAAAAGAAAAGAAAGGGGTACTTAGATATTGATATGACTTTTAGTATGGGGTCCCACTCTTTTCTCCATCACCATCCAACCCAATATGACCAGGATGGCACAAGAGCCTGGTAGCCACATGAACCACACAAACCTTATGTTTGCAGACAACAAAATAGTACTTTTTAAAACAAAAAAAAATTGCTCAAAATACTTTAGTTAAGAGTCTTTTCAGATTCTCAAGTTTTGGGGATGTAACATCTCAAGCTATATGCTATATTCAATTAAAAGGATTTCCAAATTGCAGTCTCTATGGGCTTGAAGAAAACAATGATTGAATGGAAACCGTCCAAAATTTTAAGAGCGAGATCTAAATGTTGGAAAACTCAAAATTCAATTTTGTTCGTTTAAAAAATAATGATCTAATTTTTAGATGGTTTTGCAAAATTTTAGATTAAAATCTTTCCAAGTTAATCTTTTGCCCAAGGGAGTAAATATGTAATATGCTCTTGCAAGAGCATAGAATACGCTCTCCTATAAGGTGTTAACTAGAAGTACGGTGCGCTTTAAAAACCCACCAAAAACATTGTTCCGAGAGCAAACCCTGATCATTTGAACCTCATGAATCTAAAAAAATAATTTCAGGCCTTAAAAATATTGTATTTTTTAACACATTATCAGGATGTTCTATTTTCAAGATTTTCAAATGTCATAGATCTACTCAATTTGTAGTGTTTCTAAATATTTCAATTATATGATTAGAAATGAAAATAAAATTTTAACTATCACAAGTGTTCCACAGGACTAGAGCCGCATCTTTTGACACAATTTGAAGGCACACCTCAGATTGAAATTTTAAGCTAAAGGCCAGGCCGAGTTAAGGGTTTTCAAAAGACACTTTAAAAAAGACAAAGTATATTATGCTCCAGCGGGAATATACTGTTTTTTACTCACTCATATAAAACCTAATAGAGAATTAATCTTAGTATCACAAATTTTAGGAATAAAACATCTTCAACCTATGACTAATATCACTGAAAAAAGAATTTCGGGATTGCACTTTTTACTGTATTGATAAAATTGAAAAAATGCCATCTAATTGTTGGGGGGGTGTGAGATCTAGGTGTTAAAAACTCAAAATTCAAAATATTTTCTTTTGAAAACAATCATCTAGCAATTCTAAGAAGTTCCAAGATTTAGATTTAAAACAATTCTCCGAAGCTAATTTTCTAAGCAAAGGAATAGATGTGCACTATGCTCTCACGGGAGCATAGCACACGCGGTGAACAAAAGGGGTAAAAACATGTACATCAAGAACAAAAACCCTGCTCGTCCCATCCACTGAACTGCAATAGCCCAACGGCACACGCTCTCTCTCTCTAAATGCTCTCGCCTCTTTGTTCCCATTTTCTTTAAAAAAACACCTCCATAAACGGCTATTTTTGTTGGTCTTCTCTGAAAACGAGCCTCTTTCTCTCACACACACAAACGGCTATTTCCCAGATCGATGGAAATGAAGCATCAAGGCATTCTCTTCTTCGTCCTCTTTCTGTCTTCCTCCTGCAACTCAGTTTGTTTTGGTATGTCATAAATTCAATCAATTAACACCCCTTTTCTCCTTTCATTCTCAATAAACTCCATGCGACTCATCTTCTCCTCCTCCTTCCTTCGCAGGGAAAAACAAACCCTTGATCTCAGTTACCATCACTAATCACAAGATCTTAGAGAATGGAAAAAGAAAGTTGTTGGGGGCTGACGATGATGCGACGACAGGTGGTGGTGGTGGTGGTGGTAATATAGAGCTGTGGTGCGTGGCGAAGAACAACGTGGGGGATGGGGCTCTGCAATCGGCTCTGGATTGGGCTTGCGGGGCAGGGGGTGCAGACTGTGGGGCTATCCAGCAAGGTGGTCCATGTTTTGAGCCCAATAATGTTCAGGCCCACGCCTCTTACTCCTTCAATGACTACTTTCTGAAGCATGGGATGAGCACCGATAGCTGCGACTTTAGCAACACTGCCGCTCTCACCTCCTTGAATCCAAGTCAGTCTCAGTCTCTCCCTATCTCTACCTGAATTTTTTTTTTTTTTTCTTTTCAAATCACTATCTCTACCTGAATTTCCACCCAACATTTTACCGCCTCTCAAGAGCACAGTTTACTGCCTTATTTCCCTGCTCATCCCAACTCTCTCTCTAGAATCTAGAGAGAGAGTGTGAATCACCCTTTTCTCTCTCTCTCTTAGACCGGACAAATTGACTGCACCGATCCGTGATCATGTGGCCACATTGTGTGCTAGACTGAACTGGAAGCACTCATAACTTCGTCCACTCCTGATCCTCTTAATTTTCATTTATGTCAGTTGTACCCCCGAGGCAGGATAAATAATAATACGAAAATAAAAAGGCTATAATAGGAAAATAAAAATAAATTAAAAAAGGGGGACAGATTACGATCCAATATCTTTTGGTAAGGGAGTACAAAAACTCTTTATGGAATCCCTGATCATTTTGTTTATAAAAGTGTTTTATTGTTGAGAAATTATCGTTAATATATCTTAATTTTAATAAAACTGAAAAAAAAAAACCTCAAACTTCACCGACACCTCTTTTTTCAATTTTAACTATTTTTTGGACAAAAATGCCATTTACAATAGTCATTTTACCGTAATGAGGATTACGGTACTCTTAGTACCGTAATGTTCTTAAACTTCTTTACCGTCATAAAAAAACCGTAATGGTTCAAAGTTCGTTGGAATTTCAGTTCTTTGACCATTACGGTCATAAAAAGACTGTAATGGTCCAAAGGCCATTGAAATTCTAGCGAACTTTGGACCATTAAAGTCTTTTTATGACTGTAAAGAAGTTTAAGACCATTACGATACTAAATGTACTGTAATGAGAGAACCCCATAAAATTTCCAGCCAATTACGAAATTTGGCCGGATTTTGCTTAGTATAGGGTTTTTTTGGCCGGACTTTGAAGGGACCTTAACTGGATTTATTTGAGGTCTGGTTCGTTTGTGCTGGAATTTGAAGACATTTGGTTTGAATTTGAAGCGGTTTTTGCCGAAAAAGGGTTTTTTTTTTTTATTGGATTTTAGGCGGAAATGGGATTCATTTCATTCGAAGGGAGAGTTTTGTTCTCTTCGATTTTTATACTTGTTGCTTAGCAAAGGTTCAATGAATTTGGTGATGATGGTGGACCTGCTGTAAAGTTATTGGAACCCAAATATGAGCTCTTCAAAAATCATTTGACAGCTACCCTTGGGTTTCAAGTGCCAGAAATTGAGATCAAGCATTTGGTTGCAGCAGAAATTGTTTTTGTAGGGAATTGTTGATCACTCTATTGAATATGTGTACCCAGAGTTGCCGCAATGGGAGACTCCAAAGAGTCATTCGCTCTCTTGCATCTAAATCCCTCAAATCTCAACACAAGCATTTCGGTACTAAGAGTACCGTAATGTCTTTTAGTATCGTAATGCTTTTAAACTTCTCTACGGTCATAAAAATTCAAGTGGATTTGGGACCATTACGGTCTTTTTACGACAGTAAAGAAGTTTAAGAGCAATACGGTACTAAGAGTACCGTAATGAATATTACGGTATTCAAAGTACCGTAACTCTATCATGCCATTACGGTAGAAAGACTAACATAAAGGGCATTTTCGTTCAAAAAATCACAAAAATTGAGAAAAATAGTGTGGGCGAGGTTTTGGGAAGTTTGGAGTTTTTTTTTCAATTTTATTAAATTTAAAGTATATTAACGATAATTCCCCTTTATTCTTTATCGAATCACAGAATCATTTCATTTATAAAAGTGTTTTATAAGATCAAAGGAGTAGATCTTTTTACAAGATCAAACTCTTTATTGAATCATCATTTTTTTATATTAAAAAAAAAAAACATCTTCCTTCTAAATATAATTACAAAATTAATAAATAAAATTATCAGATATATTCCTCATATATGCTTAAATTTCAAAGTATTCTTCATTTTACATTTATATCGTCTTTTTAGCTTCTTTTTTTATTCGTTATTTAACCCCGTCATGGCTATGTCACTTCTGTGGCGACTAAAACCATCACGGCTCTACAAAAATCATGGTGGTTGTCACAAACTTGACATAGCCGTGGTATTAGGCCAGGGTTTCTTCCCATTTTTTTGGCGCTAAATTTTGACTCCAAAAACCACGACGGCTATGCTAGGTCCGTGGCGCTCTTTTACCCCCCCCCCCCCCCAACCACCAATTTACTGCAATTTCGAGCGGTTCTACCATATACATTCTATTTGAGCGGTTCTTTCTACTGCTCCCACGCGCAAATCAGTTCGCCCACAGAAGAAAGCCGACTTCGGTGAGGAGACTGTATGTGTGGGCTTCAACTGGGCAGTAGTAGGGAGAGGGAGAGGTGTAGAGGCTGGGGCAGCAGGAGGGCAGCTAAAGGGAGAGGGAGAGGAGTAGGGTTGGGGCAGCAGAAAGGAGAAGGAGAGGCGAATTGGAGAGAGGCGGAGACAGGGAGATTGCGGCAAGTTTAAAAGGCACTACGGTTTTTGTAGAACCGTGACGGTTTTGGTCGCCACAGACTTGACACTATCGTGACGGTTTTGGTCACCACGTACTTGACATAGCCGTAACGGGGTTAAAACAGAAATAAAAATTTAAAAAAGCTAAAACAGGGATATAGATCTATTAAACGCAAAATGAATGTAAGTTTGAAATTTAGGCATTTTTGAAGAATATATCTAATAATTTTCCTAAATAAAAATCTATAAATAAAAATAACTTTCTCCCTCCTAAAATTTTTCCAATGAATCTTTCAATTTTTATACAAATCTATATTTCTTTTGAATATCTAATTAAATGAGTCCATGAAAATATGATTTTTATCTTTTAAGCCATGTTAATCGCAGTAACCTCATCCATGAGCCTTATCTACCATGAGCCTCACGTAAACAAGAAATACCGAAATCAGCTTTAAAAATTGGAAACTTTTTATCCTACTTACTTCCCAAAAAAATTAAAAAAATTAATAAAATTATAATTTTAAATTTTTTTCTATTTTTTATCTGCATCAAACCCTTTCCAATATTGGGTCAAAACATTACATGTTATATTTGAGGGTATATGCTTTTAAATTTCTAAGAAACCTAGGTACATTTTTTTTAAAATTGAAATTTTCTATTTTTTTTTAAAAAATTGAAATTTTCTAATTTTCCATACTCAGTATAGAAGTCAGAATAATTAGGGATACTTCTACAGTTTTACCACCATTATCATCAGGTTAAGACTTCTATAGAGGTAAAATTATCAAATTACACCTTAATTATCCGGGTTTCCCTAGGAATTTAAGAACTTTTAATTTTTTCTCAATATGTATATGATTGATATAGGATTTTAAAGCATAAACTCAAGTGTAATTTAGTAATGTGTGATTGACATTGATAAATATTTTGAATAGATTGGATCATTTTGCAATATTAGAAAGTGATAGTCAGAAGAGCGTTTGGGAGGAGCTCCGAATTTCATGTTAAGAGTTATTTTAGGGTCAGAACTCAATAAAACAATTATCTAAGAGCCACAAAATCTTATCAGATGATTTTTGTTAAAAAAAATTTAAGGATATTTTTAGGCTCATTATCCCTAAATCGTTTGGATTCTAACTAGGGGAAAATCTGTGAAAGCTTTTAAACTTCAGGTTTGTAACTGTAAATTCATAGAAGATATTCATTAAAGTATTCTATTTAAGAGCTTTTATTTTGTCAAATAAAAAAAGTTCACAAAAATTTAAAAGTTCAAAACAAATTTTAAAGCATCATTATCCCTGCATCATAGACGGATTTTTAGGTGATTTGATTCTAAGTTTAGAGAAAGCTTCGAATTTCAAGTTAAAGACTGATGAATTTCAAATATTTTATTGAAAAAGGCCGATGAATCTCAAATATTTTATTGAAATTTATCAAAAGAGAAAAACTCCATGTAACACTCGTAATCCCTAGATTGTAATTATCTCCTTTAGTCCTCCTGTTCTGATCTAAAGTTAAGGCTACTATGTAAATAAAATTAATCAATGTGAAATATATGAAGCTTCAGGCAGCATCCATCATAAAACTATGTAAGGTAAACTTAGAGCCAGTTTTATATATGGGTTTTTTTTTTATTTTAAAAAATATATTTTCACTTTAGTTGAAGTAACCTGCTGAAAATGTCATGCTTTTTAGTGAGGAATGGCTAAAATAGCTACGAATAAATAAAAATTTAAATAATTTAATAATATTATAAATAATACAAGATACCAATAAGATAACTAATAAAATAGGAATATATACATAAGATTTTTTACTTTTGGTACAAGAAAATCACAATTATTATTTAATGTTAGATGTGAAATTGGGTGGTTGGCGATGTGTCATTGATAGACATCAGCGATAAAAATTTTCAAATATTATGACACACTTCCATTCATTAAAGATCACATAAAATTTTTATCAAATATTATGACACACTTCCATTCATTAAAGATCACATAAAGTAGGTGAGAATAATTGTGGCCTTTTCGTACCAAAAGAAAAGGCTCGCACAATATACAATACCAAAAAATAAATACTGCTCAGAGTATATTAATTTTTCATAAGGTAATCTATTCCAGATGAAATCAATTGTCATTCATTAAATATCACATAAAGTAGGTGAGAATAATTGTGGCCTCTTCGTATCAAAAGAAAAGGCTCGCACAATATACAATACCAAAAAATTAATACTGCTCAGAGTATATTAATTTTTCATAAGGTAATCTATTCCAGATGAAATCAATTGTCATCTAAATAAGCCATTGGCACATTGCACTATCCTTATGGAAGTAGCAGTTGGGATCGTAAATGAGCCAAGTTCTGGAATCCCTAGATTCAGATGCAGTAGTAATGCTTCTAGATGTTCATTGGAAATCCATAGTTTTTAAAGGATTTTGGTGGCTTGTGTCTTGATCAACACCTGGGCCTTTTTGAATCTGGATATTTCATATTTGGGTCTTTTTTGAAGCTGGACATTTCATACCCAGATCTTTATGTTTTGTCTAGAGGTGATGAAACTAATGTTTTTCTTTGTAACTGATATTTTCAGGTTCCGGGAGCTGTGATTTCCCATCAAGGTACGTAACTTAATAGTAAATGGCTTAATATCAGTGTCTTAAAATTGGATCAGTGGGCCGAATTAGTGGTTGGCCAAAACTATCTAGATCAATGAATCGGTCAGTTCAAATTTGTTTGTAGGAGAAAATTTTGTACAGAAACTAGAAAGGGCCAAAAAAAAAAAATAAAAAAAAATGCAAGTGGTAATCAGGCAGGTCCTAGGGTTCTCTTACTCGAACTAATACCGTATCTGTCTACTTTTTAAAGCACTTTTTCTGAAAAAAAAGATTCATCTAAACAATTTAATATTTCACATGTTTATGTTTTGATCAGACTTGCTAATTGGGTGAAATGTTTAGTTGATATTTCCGATGCAGTTTGCTAATCTCTCGTATGAAAGGACCCACCATTGCTTTAATTATAAAGTAATCAGTACGCAGCTACCGGTGCTTTATACATAGTATGATCCCTATGTCCACTGACAATGTGATTCACGGGCATATGTGTCGTCTCTAATTCCATCAATGGATTGATGGTGATCGAGATGAAGAGTAGAACCAACCAAACATGGAATGGCCCGAGTGGCGGGTCCTGATCTCTTCTTTCCCATCCATCTACTGTTTCAACGGTCATGATGACCATGAGCTTGATGAATTTTCAAAGGTCATTTGGATCATTGTGCACTTGAGACCTGAACTCAAGCTATTTCTTGGATATGATAAAATCGGTATCTTAAAAACTCCCGGTTGGGATCAGAATGTTGCATTGGAACTTGAAAGAGAAGCTCGGAATCACCCAATTTTCTTGATTTTAAATTTTTTATTACATTTCTTTTTTTGGTCAAAAACCACCTATTAAGACCAACGGAATAGGGAGTTGGCTCCCAACGATTCAATCGAATTCTTGCAACCAAGGTTTTAGAAAATAGATGGGTGACCCTGATCGTGTATTCGGATTTCCGATCCGATTGAGCAGTTCGGAGATCCGATTTACCGAACCGGTCATTAAAAATTAAAATATTAAAAAATAAATAAAAGGGGCGGTTCTGACTGGTTTTTTAATAGAACGGTCGGTCAGAACCTCAGTTCTGTCAAAGAACCGAACCTTAGCAGAACCTGCCTCCAATGATTTTCGATCTAGATCGGCCATTCCGATCCTTATCAACATTTTTCTAAACCTTGCTTAAAACACAAGATAAAGCCCTAAACTGACCGTTCCATTTTGTTATTGCAGTCTATCAGCGAAAAATGGGAGCTTTTCAGGAGGAAGCTCAAGTGGGATGGAACCTGCGGGCCTAGGCTTGAACGGAAGCTCACTTCAAAGGGACCTTGCTCCGTTGACCTTTCTCTCTCTTTCACTAACTCTCCCCCTTTTACTCTTCTTCCCCAAATAACAAAACATGCATGTAATGGTGATTTTGCATTTGTGGCAGCAAAAGTAAACAACATTTTTGTCCCAAAGCCATCAACAAGGAGCAAAATGAGAGATTTTTTTATTTGTTGAAACCCAAGTTTATATCCACTGTTTGGAGAACATATTGATGAAACCCAAGTTTCATATTTTCACTTTTTGGAGTTTGTAAAACCTAAATTTTGCTCAAACAGTATCTCCTTTGAGCTTCTTCTTCTTCTTTTTTTTAATAATATCTTTCTATTGCTTTTCAAGTTGTAGGGATAATACTACTTTTTATATTTAACTAATGGAAAGAGTTTATATAAGGATGGTACCTTATAATGTAGAACTACGAATGCCCCTCAAAAATCCATCGAAAAAGGTAGTTTTAATGTTGAAAAACCCTTTTATCTCAACATCGAGATGTATGACTATGAAAAATAAAAAGATTTTAAGTCTTAGAAATAGTGCATTTTACATCATGTTATCTACACCGTCCTTTTTCAATATTTTCATATGTTTATAGATCTACTTGATTTTAACCATTTTTTAAATTTAAAATTTTATAATTAAATATAAAAATAGATTTTGAGATAATCCCAAGAACATTTTACATCAAAATTATATACCAGAATAAAATTTAAAGGTGCACGTTACCTCTACGCCTACGGATGCATCCGTATGCCAACTGTGCCCTAAACTTATTATGGACTTTCTCAAGCGAAAATTGAATTCCTTGAGAACATATCAAAAAGTTCTGATGAAACTACTTCTAAACTTAGCAATGATATAGTCACGCCCACTCATGTGCAATTTCACCTCAACAAAAAAACCATTTTATTGGGATCTATTCAGCATTGTTCATAGATATATAACCTTAAAATGTAGAATTAATTATGCACCTCAAAAATATATCTGAAAAGGTTGTTTTAATGTTGAAAAGCCCTCTAATTAATCATGTCGATATCGGGATGTATGAATATGAAGAAAAAAATGATTTTGGGTCCCAAAAATAGTGAATCTGACAACACATTATCTAGATTGTCTATTTTTAAGATTTTCATATAGTTATATATTTACTTTATTTTAACCATTTTGGAGTTTAAAATTTTATAATTAGATATGAAAAATAGGTTTTCAAACAATCCTTCGAATCTTTTACACCAAAATTACATGTTATGATGAAATTTGGAGGTGCACCTTAATTGGATTGTTTAAGTGAAAGATCCCGATGCATTCTCAAACAAATTTTTTGGGACCTGGTTTAATTAAATTGCATAGACCAAATTGAACCAGTATGGTTTGGGGTGTTAATTTGCTGGACCTTAGTCAAACCTAGTCTCACCCATTGTATACAAAATGAAAGAAAATTTTCATTGTACATCTTATATTAATGGCTAATCATCTCCATCGTAGTTTCCCCAAATATGATTGGCATTTTAATTAAATAAAAGTCTATTAGTACATCATATTGCATATTTTTCATAATATCTCTTTTCTATTTGGAGAGTTTAGCGATAATGTGGGAGAAATAAAAGGAAATCTAGAGATATAGATAGGAAAAACTTAAATTACAAGCTCAACTCACAATTAAAACTCCACTAATATACAAATATATGTAGTACATCCTAACCGGGCTACAACCTTTGGGAATGGGCAAATGTATGAGTCACATTATAATTGCCAAACCATTCCCTTGTTTCCTCCATAAACTACCAAAAATAAGAAAAAGAATAAAATCTTGTTTCCTCCATAAACTTCCAAAAATAAGAAAATGAAGAAAACCCTGAATTGATGAGAAGGTCGCCACCAAGTAAAAACATACAACAAACTACTCAAGGAAAGTTTTGCCAAAAACACCAGTTTCAACCTCATCTAAAACTTTTCCTTACGGTCCGCTTTCTCCCTCAACAAAAGAGGCTCTAACGCTTATTTTCAAGATTGCAATTGAGGACAAAAATTCCCCTAAACAAGAGAGAATTACACAGGGGGTAATCTTGTTATTGTCTCTTCAACTATTTTTATCTCGATACAAAATCATACTCTTACCTTGTCAACCATCTCCTATGTACAAACTCATTCCCCAAATAACATTTATGAGAATGCTTTGCTTAAATTCTATTGCCTAACCTACTCTTGTGAACTCCACTTTCAACTTTCTCATCATTGTTACTTGAGCTCATCCTATCTTCAGATGCAAAATAGGGTTTTGAGCTGTTGTTTTTTTTAAAAAAAAAAAAAGTTAAAAAATTAAAAAAAAAATTATTTAGGGGTATTTTTTCTTTTTTTTAATTTTGAGAATTGGAGGGTAAAATTGAACATTTAATTTTAAAAATATAAAAAGCTAAGATTTAGTATTAACTAAGGTTTCTTATAAAACAAGTTAGGTTTTAAAGTTTATATTCTATAAATATGTTACTATTGGACTAAAAAAAGGAAGAATAATTTATACAAGATCATGTGAAAAGATCTTTTCATGGTGGAGTCCCTTGCAGGCTCCGAGAGAGAGAGTATAATCTCTCAACTCTTAAATTTTATCTTTATCTTTTAAATTTACCAATTTTATATCCTAGCTTCCCTATATCAATTGTACTAGAGCCTTGAGATCAAAGTATTAAGATCCATTTACCATGATGCCATAACAAATATCTATAAATCCTATAATAGAGTGTTGGACCATGATGCCATAACAAATATCTATAAATCCTATAATAGAGTGTTGGGACCAAATATTTGAGTGATTCAAAAAAGACTTAGTAAAGCGTATTTAGCAAAGTAATGCAATAAGATCTACTTAGCAGATTGCAACTTGAGGAACAAGAATATAAAGAGGTAAATCTCAATGTAAAACAAGTTGACAATAACCAAAGATGCTACAAAATTTGACAATGATTATGAACAAGACGACACACTAGTTATATCATATGAATACAACCATTTGAGACTACATGTTATACACAAAGTGTTTGATGAATTAGTTTATTGAAAGACAAAATACAAAGATGAATGGTTGGACTTCATGACCAACTATTCAAAAGCCTCTAGAGAATATGATGACTTCAAAGAGCTCGAAGTCAAGCTTCTCCCGACCTAAGAGAATGATGCAAAATAGAATTTAAGGTTATTGTGGATTTTAAATTTTCTTTAGGGGTATTTATGTCTTTCTTTTTATTGTAGCGAACAACTAGGATTTAGTATTGAATAAGGTTTATTACATAGCAAGTCAAGTATTCTAATTTTCTTTAAGGGTATTTGTATTTTTTTTTTTATTGTAGAGAAGAGCAAGGATTTAGTATTGAATAGGTTTATTACCGAGCAAGTCAGGTTTTAGGGTTTTTATTCTATAAATATTTAACTATTGAACATAAAAAGGGAAGCGAACAAAATTTTATTTTAGATCTTGTCAAAAGATCTATTTGGGGTGAACTCCCATATAAATAGTGAATGACGGCATAATCTCTCAACCTTTTTTTTGTCTATTATTTTTTTATTTATTAATTTTATTTCTCCATTTCCTTGCATCATCTTCCCACATGCTTTAGGTGTAACCCTTACCATATACCTACAAGAACCACCGGTGATCACTCTCTTGCCACTAAAAATATTGCATAAGAGTGTCCACGAAGCCTCGCACGCGCTTAAAACCTAAACAATTCTTGCCCACATTCTCAAATGGGAAATTGTTTTATGCGGGCTGAACCGTATTTCTACATATACGCTCCAAAAAAGTGTGAAGCGTCCATCTAAATATGTGGTTCAAAAAGTGTAAAGCATCAATCTTAAAATGGATGCTAAAAACAATAAAAATTAACGGTCCAAATATTTTTTTACTAGAATTATTATTTTTAGTTTTTAAATTTTATTTATTTTTTTATATTCATCATCTCCATGTTAGAGATTACACGTCCTAAAAAATTAAGTCTTAAAATCCATCTTAAAAATAGATTTATTAAGAGGCCCGCAGCTCTACATATGCGGGCTTGGCCACATAGAAACCGGATCCTTCTTAAATACCAAAATACCAATTTCCCTTTTACAGGCAAGCTTTCTATGCTTCTCCTATAGTATAAGACTTATATGCTTCTTACTGTCCAACCGTCTATTCTAAATGGACGGCTGAGATGGCCCCAATCACAATATCATATCTCTATACTATTTTATTTTTTATTTTGTTTTTACAAACTATTTTGACACCAAATTTTGGACGTCCATTCCTCTCTTAAATTCACACTGGTAAAAAATATAAAAAAATATTCTAAACAAAGTACAATGATCAAAATACCCTGAAATATTCAAAAGGTTTTTTAGTCATTATATTTTGTCAAAATTTGTTTTCAATAATTTTTTTAGGTGCGCCCCAATGAGTCGATAGCACGTACCAAATTTCATATTCATAAAATTTGTATTAAAATTGAAAATAAAATACTCTGAGACGTCAAATCTAGATCAAATGGTTAGTGGCTCGCTTGATCTAAATTGGACGGCTAGATGGGAAGAGAAGCATATATCTTCTATACAGTAAGGGAAGTATAGAAACTTTTCCCTTGACTTTAATCTATTCTAATTTTTCTTCACATGCTAAACTACAAAACGAGGATCTCATAAAAATGGCAAATGACCTGTCTAATAGAACCCATGACAATAATTAAAGGGATTGTATACTTTGAGACCATTTATCTTTGATATAAGGAGGTTACAATTATTTCTAATTATTAGATGTCATATTGCTTGGGATGTGTCACAAAGTTCTAGAAACTTTTGTTTGAACTTTGAGCATAGTCAATAAAGCTTTTATTACTATCTGATTTGAAATCTAAGGGACAAGAATAGTTATGACCTCCTTGTATAAAAAATAAATGATCTCTTTATATCCTTTTTTATAATTAAAACATTTATCAGAACGCTGCACATTTCTCTTTTAACATAGACCCTTTCGTTACCAAACTCTAAATATTAATCTTTAAGAAAATTAAAAAATTGAGAGAATAGGTTGCACATCCTCTTATGAACATACGAAAAAGTCATTTTCTCCGATTTACGGAATATCCATCCCTTGCCTTTGCTTTGCATCGCTAGTTCTCCATTACCAAAATCATGTGCCCCTTATCAAGCTCTTTAATTGCATACAAGAGATTTACCATATCATTCACAATTGTACTTCCAATCAATTTGTACAAGTTTCTATTATCATTCTCTTCATTTAAACTAGAGCTCCCTTTGAAAACTTTGAGTAATCCAATTTGCTTTGTAGATTTGTACTGTTCCAAGTAGATCTACCCATATCAATTCTAACTAATGCAAGTCAATTCTGACTAGTTTACAATCATGTTGTTTCCTATTGCTGATAATTCCCCTTTGCATAATTTCCATCATTCAAACCATAATTTATGCTGGTATATATGACGAATAACTCAATTATCAAGAATCCAACTATAATAGTGCATCGCATTGCATCCCACCATCAGTACATCTTCAATATAATTGAATGACGATTCTTCAATTTATTGAACATAATTTTTTGTTACACTTTTGACTGAAACCCTTTAAAGAATTCATTGTTCCTATTTTCCAATTTTATGTGGCCGATTTTACGATAAAACTAATAATCATTTTGTCCAACTTCCATGAGAAATGAGATTTGGCACCTATGAATAACTTGATGAATTACCATAGTCATTTAACCATCCTCTTGCTACAAGAACCTCTATCTGAATCCACCAAATTATTATCCATCAATCCCTTTTTTGCAAATATCATTGACAAGCATAACACTACAAATTATTCCAACATGAGTATGCCTCCATGTTACAATTCAAGGTGGTAAAATAACACTACAGAATCAGCTTTCTAAACCCTCGTTTCTATGAACAAAAATAACACTAACCACAACTTTACATTGGCGCCCCAAAAGATGATTATTATTGTAATTGAGATAAACGTTTTTTATCATATGAAATCGCATATTTTCTGCAATGCAATGTTTCTATTTTAAGATTGTAGAGAACTTATCTCGAAATGAAAACTTCCCACGTATATATTATAAGACATACAAAGAGAAAGACCAAGCAGATAATCTGAAACATTTTGGAGATCGTAGACTGATTTTGAAGTAAATTAAATTATAAAAGGATGGGAATGGGAGGTTATTCGACTCTATTATGGACCCTCGTAAAGGGCATTTAGCATGGTGGGAATCACAATAAAAAAGTATCCCAATTTTATATACAGCCATTATAATAAGTAGATATTGTGCCCCAAATTTCGGCCAAGGGGTATCTAATGAAAATGAATTAAAAATTGGGTGCTTGAGAATAACATGAGCTTTGGAGGTAGTATTGCCGAGATCAATGATAAGGTCTTTGACTCGATTCTCACCAAAGGGTAGGGATTTGAGGTAGTATTGCCGAGTCTTATGACGAGGTCTTTGACTCCATTATCACCAAAGGGTAGAGCCTAAATCCCCACTGCCATACCACTTCAAGAAAAAGGGCTGGTTCGTCGTGGTAGCAGTATCCCCATACCCAATTACCACATCGTAGTATCTCCACACCCAGTTACCACATCGTAGTATCTCCACACCCAGTTACCACATCGTAGTATCTAGTCGTGGTGGCCGTATCCCCATACACCTATCCAATCATGGTGGGCGTATCCCCATACCCAGTTACGACATCGTAGTATCCCTATACCCAGTTACCACATCGTAGTATTCCCATACCCAGTTACCACATCGTAGTATCACGTCGTAGTATCCTAATCGTAGTATCCCCATACCCAGTTACCACATCGTATTATCCATTCCTATGGCTTTGATACCCCCAATTAACACCTATTGAAAAAAAAAAAAAACGGGTAAAGGCCTGTCGTCCCCACTAAATTACCCAAAAAATAAAAAATTGGTTGGGTGCAACTCTGCACAAATCAAACACATTTAATCCAAACATTTTTCACCTTTCTCCGTCAAATGACAACCAAAACCAAAAGAGACTATGCCATAATAACACTCTCTGAAAACTCTATCTTTAGATCTGCCACCTTGCAATCTCGCTAAAGAGACATTTTTTTCTCTCCTTTGGCCTTTCATAACTTGAGGTTGAGATCAACGCTTGGCTCCTCATTACTCTCTCTTCTATCTTCAGAATTTGGTGGTTTTACTTTGCTTGGACCCGGGCTAATGAAAGGGATGAATCTCACCCCCTTCTCTTTTCTCTCTCTCTCAATATTTCCTATGAATTCCTGTTTCAAATACTAATAAAACATCAGGCTTTGCTTATGATTTAGATTATTTTAAAATGTTGTTTTTCCTCTATCTTCTGATATTTACAGTATTGGAATATGGGTTTCTCTATCTTATTCATCAGATTTAGAATATAAGCTTCCGACTATGATGATGATTGATATTTAGACTATATGTACAGCATTTTCTCTCTTAAGAAATTAAATGAAAATGAAAAATACCTGAGTTTGGTACTGGTGATGGTTGGCAACATCAACGGTGGAGCGAGGATTGACATGATATTTAGCAAAATCCATGGTGTAATGGGGATTGATGGTAGGATTCATGGATGAATTTGAAGGAGCTAGAGTGAGAAAAGCACCATCTACACTTTCACGTCTTCGATCAGCAACTGGTTCGAAAGAGGGTCTCAATGTACTATAAGAGCCTTGATCCACCTGTGACCCCAAAGAATTTCTCCAGTTAACTGTGACACCTGATTGAAGGTGCATCGAGCTCGAACAATGGTCTCTGCAAGTAAGAGAAACACCCATTTAATGAGAAAATGCAAGAGAAATACCCATTCAATCAGAGAGAACAGAGTTTTTTAAGTTACTGTAGATAGAGGAAGAGAGAGAGAAATGCGTGCCTGAAAACGGAGTTTTCTTCTAATTTGGAAGGTTCATGGTGAATTCCCAAATTGGGCGACTTATTTCGAGGAAGATGAAGAGATTGGTTTTCTTGGAAGAGAGGCCATGGGCGCTTGATGCCGATAATCTAATTTCACTAACCAAAACCCACAATCACCATGACTGGAAGAACCAGAGGAAAAGAAAGAACCAGACAGAATATAAACCACATTGAACAACCACAATGTGACTTTCTCTCTCTACAAAAACAGGACATACCCTGTCTTCCTCAATTGTCCATGGAGGCTTGTTGCTAGAGTAGCTTTGGTTTGAAGGGGGCTCCATCTGTAGATTGTTAACTCCAGATGATGATGATGGTGTTGGCGCCACCTGCAAAATGAAAAACACACTAGAAATTCAAAAAAATACTCAAAATAGAGAGAAAGCCCAAATGTCACAGACAGAGATGGAGAATAGAGAACAATAATTGAATTTGTACCATACCAAGGAATGTGGGTTCCTTCTTATTATGCTCTGAGATAGAGAATCACAGGTAAATGGAGAACCAAAGGGAAAGTAATCCGTCTTCTTCATAACCTCTGGATCACGGTGGCTCGAATTCTCTCCCGAACCAGGCGGCATGGCAGGCCACGCAGGAGGAGGCATCACCACCTGTGAACCCACATTCGCCAAGCAAGAAGACTCCATTGCTGGAGATTCGGAGCATCGAATATTAGGGCTAAAATGGTGGAAATTGCTAGGATTAAGAACCAGAGAAGTTGCACTTGAAGTCGTTACAGGGATTGGGAGGGGAGCAAATGGAAGAGATTTTTGGAGAGAGAGAGTGCGTGATTGTTGCTTTTGCATTTCTTCCATTCTAAGCTTCTCCAGTTGGGCAACACCGAGACCGCGTTGAGGGATCTTCTTTTCCCTGCTCTTTGTTCTCCTGTTTGATCTGGATTTCTGGTTCTCATCTTGCATCATAGCGAGGAGCGAGGAAGAAGAAGAAGCGTTAATGGTGGATGGTGGTTAATGGGGAGTTTAGAGTGAGAATGGAGAATGTGGGTCACGCCTCTTCCATGTCTAAGCAGCATTTTCCATCAACCCAAATCCCAAATTTCCTCTCTCTACAACTCATCCCATTAACACATCAAAATCCCATTTCAACAAAACAGAAAATCAGGTCTCTCTCTCTTACTCAACCAAAACACACAAATCTCTCAAGGCTCTCCCTCTGCCATCACCCAAATGGCAGAGATCTACAAATCCCTCTCTTTCTCTCTCTCTCTCTACTGATAAAATAACATTAATAAATCAAAGCCACATCAACACTCTCTCTTTAATATTCTCTCTCATTAATATTTCCATCTAATAGTAGATTTGTTCACACAACCAGATTCAGTGGCTTCAGTATTTCTCTCTCTACTGCTCTATGACATTCAGAAATCAAAACCCACCTCAAGAATCAAAACACAAATCTCTGATACTCTCCCTCTTTGTCTCTCTAGACTGAATCACATGACCAAATTAAAACCCTCTCTCTAGATACATCTCCCTCAATATTACAGGCGAGGATCCAGGGCTAAAGAATGGATCAAATACGCAGTCGTTACAATCCAAGATCCAAGTCGATAAATGAATCAAAAACCGCAAGCGTCGCTCCTTAAATCACCATAAAATATCCCTCAAACTTATCACAAAAGGAAACTGAATTGAAGTCCTAAGATCTTCCTATAAAACAACCAGAATCGAGGAGAGAGATAGAGAGAGAGGGGCCAGAAATCACGTAGATAAAAGATTGAGAATATAGGTTTCTTTCTTAATTAACGAAGCTTTCGCACAATGAATACAAGTGGGGGTGAGACTCACCGCCATTTTCGCTCACTCGTTACAAATCTAAATCACAGAGGCCAAGGACTTAGATAAAACAGACACCAGCCCCATCTGGCTCTTTTCCATTGCCAAACCCTGTGGCCCACCTCTCCACTTTTTTGTCCTTTCTCTCTCTCTAAATTTTGTTTCTCTCTCTATCTCTTCATCCATTTTTTCCATATCTATATCTGCAGATCGAGACTCACCTCCAGCGAGTCCGATGGCATCTAAGTTTTTTTTGGTATTTTCTTTTTTCTGCAAAGAAAGTAGCAGCTGCGGCAGCTTTTGCCCCTTCAGCTTTTTAACTTTTCAGGCCCATCTCTCCATTAAAGACGAGAGAGATGTTATAGAGTGAGAAACATAGTAAACTCTAGAGAGTTTTTGTTTTTTAAAGAGAGGAACATAGCAATTTCTAAAGAGAGAGAGCAGTTTTAATTTTGGATTTTGGATTTTGGATTTTGGTGTTTTTACCCTACATTGCGCCTGTAAAAAAGATGAGAAGATTACAGCGAGAAGTTCTTGTAGAGAGAGAGAGAGAGAGAGAGTACGGAGGAGCATATCTGGGGGGAGAGAGGAAAATCGGTGCGGCTTTTTGGGGTTTCTGAGGCCCACTACCCGAATTGTGCCCCATGTGGGGAAGCAACTCCTGACGCTGCTATCATCACACAAACACTAAAAACACCGTACCTCAACTCACCATAACTTCTATCTCAATGACCTCTCGATCCTCATCACGCTTTTGCGTCTCGGGCCTCCTTCCAAGAAAAAAAAGAAGTACGAATATCTCCCTCTCTCGGGCCGCCTCCTTTCAAGAAAAAAAAAATACTACGCTTTAATGGAATATCTCCCCCCTCTCGGGCCACCTCATTTCAAGAAAAACAAATACTATGCTTTAATGGAATATCTCCCCCTCTTGGGCCGCCTCCTTACAACAAAAAAAATACTACGCTTTAATGGAATATCTCCCTCTCTTGGGCCTCCTTCTTTTCAAAGAAAAAAAAAGACCACGCTTTAATGGAATATCTTTCTAGAAATTAACTACATCAGATTTTGTTATAGACCCCGTTTCTATGATGCCATGCGTAACAAATACGAGCGTATTAATAAACTTTTTTTAGAGGCATTTTTAGAAAATAAATAAATTTTAAAAATTAAAAATAATAATTATAATAAAAAAACATTTGGACAGTCTGTTTTCGTTGTTTTTACATGAAACAAATGATGTTTTATATTTTTTTGGACCGCATGTATAGTCATGTGGTCCAGCCCGCATAAAACAATTTTCATTTTCTTGTTGTGATGGACAATTGTATAAACGGAGTACGAGAATGTCACAAACCCTTCTACTCACCAAATTTTAAATCATGTGGTTGGAAGAGTACCATTGACTAAATAAAGTTTAAAAATAATTTTCGAGACATCCTCAATCATTTAATTTGATATCTAATAACTAAAAATAAGTGTGACCTCCTTGTAACAATGACAAGAAAATGTATACAAATAGACCATTACTTTTATACAAGGAGATAACAACCGTTTTTGTCCATCAAATTCCAAATCAAATAGTTGTGAGTGTATCATTGACTATACCCTAAGTTCAAAAAAAAAATATTCTCAAACTTTGTGATACACCTCAAGTCATCCAATTTGATATCTAATAGCTAGTATCAATTATAATCTCCTTGCGCAAAAAATAAATGGTATCAAAGTATATAATCCCCAATGATAAATAGTCTCATAGTATACAATCCCCAATGATAAATAGTCTCATAGTATATAATCCCGATAATTTTTTTTAAAAAAAATTTATTGCAACATACTTTAAGCCATCTAATTAGACATCTAATGACTAGTTCGAGTATACATTTCTTTTTTTAAAGAAGGGTGATGTTTTGCATAAGGTTTCAACCTTTCTTTTTTTTTTAGTATGAGGAGAGATGGCCACTACCCCTTGTAGGAATTGAGGCTAGAACATAACGTTGTAAATCTTCAAGTGTTAACCAGTTAAGCTCGAGCTCTTTTACTCTAAGGTTGCAAATTTAAACAATCAAAGTATGCCTCCAAACTTTCTTATACGATGTAATTTTGGTGTCCCTAAATTTTAAGATGGCCTAAGAGTCTATTTTCATCACTAATAATAAATTTTTAAGGGAAAAGATCTACATACCCCCCATTTTTAAGTTTTATGTCTCACTAGACTCAAGGTTTCAAAACATATCTTGGGTCCTAAAAATTCTAAGTTTTGTATCTTCTAATCCCTTCAGCTAACTTTATCTCATTTAAACCTATTTTTTTGCCTCAAACAAATATAATAAAGATATATCATTTCTAAACACCATCATTTCTCTCTCTTCACATGATTTTTCCCTAAATCTCTCTCTCCATGACTTTTACCAAACCCTCTCTCTCTCTCCCTATTTTGCCGCTCGCTCTCCATGGTTTATTTATTTTTATATATTTGCTTGATTTCTGTGGATTTTTTCTATTGATTGCTTAGATATTATTCGCATTGATGATTAATTGTATACTGATTGTACCTGTTTTTAGAACCCAAAATGAGATAGAGCGGTTTCGGGAAATACGGGTAGACAAAGAGCACGAGAGATCTAGAGAGATAAAGTGGGAGAAAATACAAAGAGAGAAGGGGTTTAGAATAATCTCAAAGAAGAGAGAGAGAGAGCAAAATTTGGAAGAATATATCACGTAAAAAGATGAAGGGTTTAGACGGAGCATGTTTTTTTTTATATTTGTTAGGGCTAAAAAAATAATTAAAAATAGATAAAGTTAGTCAGTGGGTTTGGATATATATTTTAAATCATTGGAACTATTTAGATATAAAAACCAAAAATAGATGGTCCAAGAATATTTCCCCAAATTTAAACTCAAAAAATAATTCAAATCAAACATATTTTCCGTATTTTTGATATGTTGCAAGATATACTATTTTCGGCACTAATGTGTTGCAAGATATACTATTTTTGAAACGTTTTTTTTTTTTTTTTCCTATCCATACATGCATCTTGATGTCAAGATGATCAAATAATGGCTTGCCAATGTCAAATAGTGTTTTTCTGATTTTTGAGGTGCACCTTAAGTATACAATTTAAAGTATCGACCTTATATGGACTTTTTACTTCAAAGAAACAAAATATTTTGAAACCTTTCTTTCTCTCATGTCTTATTTTTCCTATAATTTATTCGTTAGGCCTCACATCCTCTTTCTGAAAACCCAAAACAATCTTTCCTCCTCTCATATTCTCTCTATAAAACTAACTTTAACCAAGAAAAGAAAGAATCCAAACAAGAAAAACATATTACATCATGCTTTCAGAAACCCCAAAGACGTAATTTGTGTCTTCTTTGATTTCTCTTCTCCTTTCTTTTTATTTTCCAATTTTAGCTTTAGAGAGAGAATACGAGAGGCAGCAAGAATGGGATTGGGTTTCTAAAAAGAAAATGTGAGAGTGGAGAAGAATAAAGTTGATATTTAGAAAGAGAAAGTGAGAAGAGGAATAATGAGTTGGGTTTCTTAGTGGGAAAAATGTGAGGAAAGAACTTTAAAAAAAAAAAAATTTGAGTTTTTAGAGAGAGGGCTAAAAGGGAAGGGAAAAAACCACGAGAAAAAACATAAGTGCAGGATGAAAAAAATAAAGTGAGGCCAAATAAAATTATTTTTAAACGAGGGGAATCATGCAATGCCTTCTCTACAAAAATAGGAGAGAGAAAGTTAAAACTAAATTTTCAAGAAGTCTAATATCTTAAATAATAAAATTTAATAAAGCTTTTTTTTTTTTAAAGAGCTGCTTGAATCATTTTTTTTTTAGTAAATAAATTAATTACTTTACTCTTATATGAACTTAATATATTTTGTATAGGTGCAAGCTATAATGAATAGTAATACAGATGGAATATGAGTCATCAAGTTTTTATCGGGTGGTTTAAAAACTATATCATTATATGAATTTTAATCTTTTTTCTAAAAATTGAATTGTGGTGAAAATTTGAGCATGTATAGTAAAAAATAGGGCGCACAAGAAACAAATATAAAAAAAAAAAATTTTAAAATATAAAATAACCAAAATATCCCTGAAAATGTTGGGGGTAATTTTGTCATTTTAAATTCCTGCAAGTATTTGTTATATATTTTTATATGATGCGCAGTAGTGTCAAAGATATACACCCAAACTTTATCTCAATTGAATTATAGAAAAACGATTAAAATTCAGTTATTGGTATGTATTTTGAACTACCTGATAAAAAATTAATGACTGGGATTCTACCTATATTACTATTCATATAGCTACAAATAGGTTGATAACTTTACTCTTTTATATAATATTATTTTATTAGCTATCCATACATATCTTTATTAAAAAACTATTTAAATGTTTTGTATTCTCAAGTGTTCTTTATATATATTTTTTGCTAAAAACATTTGATTTTCAGTTTGAATAAAGTAAAAGCATTATTTGGAAAAAAACAAAAATTTACATGGAGAATTATATGCAAGTTTTTTTTAAATAATTTTATCTATACTACATTATGTAAGTTTTTTTTTAATAATTTTATCTATACTATATTATTAAGCCAAGGTGGACATGTGGCGAAAGAATAAGAATGGAACTTATGATGTTATATAATCCCATATTGTAGGATTTCAAGCCAAATTGTAAAATTTACTTCCTATTTCTATGGTTGAGAAAAGACAAAATAATATTAAAAAAAATAGCCACATGAGTAGAATTCATTTACTCCTGTCTTTTAAGGGCCGTTTCGATACTCGAAAATATATTGTTTGTGAAATATATTACTGGCTTAATACATTACCTGTAAATGGATTGGTATTGTTTGCATAGTATTTAGACGCAACCTGGGAAATACATTGTTATTATTTGGCTATGTCTGAAAGAAATATACGAAATGTATTATCAACATTTTACCAGAACGTGCCTATAAACTAACATTTCTTTCTTTTTTGTCACAAAATTCCACTAAAATGCATAATTATCATTTCTTTCTTTTTTATCACAAAATTCCACTAAAATGCAGAATTATCATTTCTTTCTTTTTTGTCACAAAATTCCGCTAAAATACGGAATTAAAATCATCATCACACCATTCTAAAAAGATTTCTAAAAATAACATCATCACCATTCCAAAAAGATTTTCTAATAATAACTTGCATAATTTTACAGTCATCATGACAGTATTTCCAACTTATTTTACATGCCTTTGGCACTTACATAGAATCACATGTCTTCTAACAAGTCATTGGAACGATATGATTGGAATAACTTGATTTTATTATAATAAGCCTTATTTTTATTTATTTTTTATAGAAGTCTTTCAAATGTCTCTCTATATAATTTCAAATAAACAATAAATTTATAATACTAAATTCAAAATCTCTATGG